AAGGGCTGTCAACTCTACCCTGCCCGAGCTCGCTGCTTGTTCCTGCCCTGGCCCCCCCGTACGCCCTCGCCCCTCCCACTACCTCCAGCTCTCTCGCATACGTCATACACACACATGCATCCATCCGTCCTTCCATCCTCCTTCTCTCTCGCCCCCTTCCCTTCGCCGGGCCTGCTCCAAGCACATTCATATCTTTCGTACCCCCTCCCCCTCGCCGCACCTGCTCAAAGTAGGTGAGGAGCACGTCCTCAGTGTACATCCCTGAGAGCCGCTTGAATGGATTGACCGCCAGAAGGATAGGGCCTGGGGAAATGCCGGGACGAAAACAATTTTCAACGTGCATGCCTGCGTCCTCGTGGTCGGTGAAGCAGCAACCCCCCCCACCTCTGTGGTCCATCCTTACCAGTAAAGGTGTAGATAGCGCCTTCTTCAAAGCGTTCTTGCAATGAATGCAAGATGGCGGGTTCGTGCAAGTGCGGAAGTGTGATCAAGTCTTGGACGAGCGACACGTCCTCCTCGTTGCGCAGCTTTACATCGGCCGCTTCCGTCTCGCCCGCAGCCACCCTGCGCGACGAGAGGCACAGAGAAATGGACAATTAGTACGTACAAGCCAAACATTACCTCACACGCCTACACACCACCACCCCGGTGCATCCAATGCTTTTGGGGCCCTGTCGTACCCCAGCGCTCGCTGCCATGTCCCCGACATTTCTATGACTCCTTGATTTCGATGGGCAAGCGACTAACCTGAAGCTAATTTTCCCAGCGCGGTCCAACAGCTCGATTTCCAGATCATACTGCTGCCCTGCCTTTCCACCACCACCAGCCACGCCCAGACCACCGTCCACAAGCCGCTGCCCGTAGGAAAATGCAGAAAATGTGTGCAGAAATGTCAGCGTGTGCTCCCACTCAACGCCAAGTTCCAACCTGCACTTTTTTCCGCAGGTAGCGGCCCTCCTAGAAGCATCCAGATCCCGTGTCATCTCACCTTTGTCAACACCGTGCCTTCCACCCAAGTGTCCGGGCCCGCGTCTGCCACCCACACCGAAGCCCCCACTTCCATCCTTTCTCAAATGCGATCAAGCGCCTGTTTTTTGACGGGGGTCGTGAAGGTGAGGGAAAATTCGGGAGCAAAGCGGGTGTCCGCAGTGGGCCATGGAGCGGGGTCGCTAAAAGCTTCTCAACGTACCCTAGGGGTGGAAAAGCAACATACAAAATGTACTCCGCGCGGGGAAGAAATCCGTCACAACACTGGTGAAATGGTCAGCACCATGGTAATGGTCTTTGTAACACCCCGGTGCGGTCTCGACCTCCGCCTCGTGTTCATCACTGTCCAATGGGAGTACTCGCGTGGAACATGACTCGCTGGCCCTGTCATAACAGCTTTATCCGCAGTGCAAGGGGGGTACAGCCGAAATTAAAAAAACACGCCCGAGCGTCCATCATGCCTCGCGTGTGTCGACGTCATTGGGGAAAAACATTCCACACTTGTTTACATCCAGTTTATCTTGAAGTTTATGGCAAAGCTGGGCTTGAAAAAAGTTTTGTTCCTTGCGGTTTTCAGGGCAACGAGACATGGCACTGGCGAGCCTCGGGTGTCGTATGTTCATACTAAGAATAATCAACGAAATAAATTCGACGAGTCACGAAAGCCAGACACAGTGTACAAGTCAATGTAAACTTGGGGCCACGCTTATGGCAGTGGTATCACTTGTTTGGGTGGTGGTGCACGGCCTGCCAAGCTCGATGGCTATGAGAGTGCTCACGCCCGAGGTCTGACATAAAAGAGGGGAAACTTACACTGCGAGTTCAACGACAACCTTGACAAGCGCTGGGATGGCTGAGAATACTGCTTTTCCTCCCCACAACTAATCGTTGAGGCGACGTTCGAGTCTAGCGCCCTAATGAGTAAAATCACGGGTATCACGTTAACACGAATTGCTTTAAAACCCTTTTTTTCTTCTCATGCCCCCAAACAAGCCAGGACCCTATTCATTTTCATCCCATTGTGTGAAATGCTCCCCCTAGTAACACACTCAAGTCTTCAAACTCAATTATGCGCTCACGCAATTGCCTTGGAATGGTTCGCTACTTTCATACGACTCCCCCCGGGCCCCATATTTGCTCTTCAAACGTTTCTATACATTCTACACCATTCTTTGAACAGATATTTAGTGCCTATTATGCTCGAACGGCGTGCTGGTTGTTGGTAGGAACCCCTATTTCCATTGATTTTCATGACTCCTCCTTTCTCCCCGGCATCCACATACATCCCATTCCCCTGACCCAATTGTCCCCGTTCCCGCCATTTTTAGGCCGATGGCATTGTTTGGCATTCTATGCCATTGGATGCCTGGAACGCACGTTTTCCACACGTTCCCACAATCGTCCGTGGCGTAGTCATGTCCAACCCGTCCGCTAATCTTACCCTCCCCCCCCTCCCTCCCC